TCATATCCACTATGAGCTTAACTGGGAGTCCTGGTATTGTGCCGTGATAATGCAGTGGTCCGCAATGTCGGTTTGAACTGCAAGGTCAGCAGTTCTAACTCATCAGCAGCTCCTCAAAAACCCTATATAGGGTTGCTATGGGTTGAAACCAACTCAATGGCACTTAACAACAACAACAGCATGAGCTTAACTGTCCAGTTAGTTCTGTCAGTAGACCATGAGATTCTTAAGATAAGAGTTGTGTACCCCATGTTGGACAGTGACTTTTGGAATCCTGGTGCAACACTGTAGAATAAGCATTGGACAGTTAACCACAAGATGGGTGGTACAAACCCACCAGCTGCTCCTCAGAAACTCTATACAGGATCACTATGAGTTGGAATCAGCTAGATGGCCCTTGAAAACAGCAACATTATAGACAGGACAAATTCCAAAGAACCTGTGTTACCCATAGTCACTCGTGTCTACCCACTGAGAGAGGTTATATTGTTTATAGTCAACATTTGAATTATCAATATGTAATTCATTAGATGTAAGAGGAACAGTAAACACATAATATACATATATTTTTTAGTACTTAATTTTGGGTACTTCATTGCATAATGAAATTGTATAATAAAGACTTAAACAAGTTATTTTGAAAAGCAAAAACACTAGTAATTAGAATAAAATTAACTCAGATGTAAGTGCATAAAGTTCTCCAAATCACTTTAATAAAGTCATTGTTTAACTACACCCATCTATAATTTTCTTCTAGCAAGTCGACACTGATTCTTTAGTTCCAGTAAAAGCTGATCTCTCACATTAATATTTCCATTAGAGTTCGATTGATTTTATATTTTGCTTGCATTCATTTTCTGTATGGTTTGACAATTGTGTAAGACCTATGAGACTAAGAAGTTTATAACTAATTATATTTTTATGTGAGAATGCAGCAGTTCCATATGAAAAGCACTGGACTGAGAAACCACAAGTCTTTGGCTGGAGCATACCAGCCACTTGGTGGGAGAAAGATGAAGCTTTCTGTTCCCATGAAAATTTAAAACCTTGCAGGAATTGACTCCATAGCGTGTAACAAAAAAAAACAAACCCAATAACAGTTTAATGTAAATCATCTTATTAAAAAAGCAAAACAAAACATGAGAGTGGCCCTGTTAAGAAAATCTGTACCTTACTCAATTTTGAGAAACACTAAAATAAATTATGAAATATACCTACTTCTGGAACTTGCCCTCTGGAAGAAGCTAGTACCATTAGGTGTTTAAGACATACTCTTTCAATCACACTGTACCTAATAAGATCATTTTATCCACCAGACATGTCATCTCATTCATTTGTTCACTCATTCTAAAGGTTTCTTCTAAGAACTTAGATCTCTGTATTTTTGGAAACTGACAATTGAGACTAATAAGACAAACTTTCTGAGTTCAGGAACACTAAGACTAGTTTGAAAAAATAGGACACAGGTTATTCTAATATGATGTGGTAGGGACAAGGATTTGTTTTTGTTAAGTCGAGTTGGTTCAGACAATGATATATATGTACAAAGGGTAAGGTGGGCACTTACTCAACTGTAAGAGATGGGTGAATGTTTTCACAAGGAGGTGACATGTAAATTGTGTTTTTTTGTAAATTGGTTCTTAAAGAGCAAATAAGATTTATCTAGGCAAAGGATAAGAACAAGAATGGAGAACTTTTGCAGTAGAAGTGTTCAGTTTCTGGTTCCAGGGGACCAGTGGAGTATATGGCTAGAGAAGATCTCAAAGCATTCCTTTTTATATCTAAACTGCCCCCAAGCTGGCTTAATACCAGATGGACTGCACAGGAATCAAAATGACTAAATCTTTGGGAGGAAATAATGGAAAAGTTTAATATTATTATTTTTTTAAAACATAAAAGGCTATACTATACACAAGGCCCTCACCAGCTGGAATACACAGGAATCAAATTGACTACATCTGTGGGAAGTGATGGTGGAGATGCTCAATCTCATTAGCCAAAACAAGGCTGGGCAGACTGTGAAACAGATCATCAGTTGCTTCTATGCAAGTTTAGACTGATGGTGGTGGTGGTGGTATGTGTGAAGTCAGTTCCGACTCATAGTGACCCTGCACAGGGTTTTTGAGGCTATAAATCTTTACAGTAACAGAAAGCCTCATCTTTCTCCTGCAGAACCACTGGTAGTTTCGAACTGCTGACCGTGAGATTAGCAGCTCTACTCATAATGATTATGCTACCAGAGCTTCTTAAGTTTAGACGGAAGCTGAATAAAATGAAAAGAGGTCCACAAGAGCCAAAATATGACCTTGAAAAGATCCCATCTGGATTTAGAGACCATTTCAAGAGCAAATTTGATGAATTAGATACTAATGACAGAAGACCAGATGATTTATGGGATGACATCAAAAACATCATACAGGAAGAAGCAAATAGTCATTAAAAAGACAGGAAATAAAGAAAAGGTGACACTGAATGTCAAAAGAGACTCTAAAACTTGCTCTTGAGTGGAAGAAATGAGGAAGTAAAAGAACTGAACAGAAAATTTCAAAGATCAGCTTGAGAAGGCAAAGTATTACAATGAAATGTGTGAAGACCCGGGATTAGAAAACCAAAAGGGAAGAAAACGTTTAGGATTTCTCACATTGAAAGAACTGAAGAAAAAGTTCAAGCCTTGGGTTACAAGATAAAAGGATTCTAGGAGTCCTGGTGTGGCGCTGTAGGTTAAGCACTGGACCGCAAGGTTGGTTTGAACTTCAAGGTCTGTGGTTCGCACTCACCAACCACTCCTTGGAAACCCTATACAGGGTCACTATGCATTGGAATCAACTCAAAGACACTTAACAACAGCAACATAGGGAACATATTGAATGTTGCAGAAAGCATCACAAGAAAATGGAAAGAATACATAGAGTGACTGAACCGATGTTCAACCATTTCAAGAGGCAGTAAATGAATAAGAACAAATGGTACTGAAGGAAGAAGTCCAAGCTGCACTGAAGGTATTGGCAAAAAACAAGACTCCGAGAATTGGCAGAATACAAAAAGAAATATTTCAACAAACTGATGCAGCACTGGAGGCACTCACTCATCTATACCAAGAAATTTGGAAGACAGCTACCAAGACTATTAGATATTTGTACCCAAGAGATCGTATTTGTGCCCATTACAAAGAGAGGTGACCCAACAATATGTAGAAATTATCGAACAGTATTGTTAATATCACATGTAAGTAAATTTTGCTAAAGATAATTCAAAGACAGTTTTAAACAGTACATGGACAGGAAACTGTCAGATATTCAAGCTAGATTCAGAAGGAGACATGCGATAGGGATATCATTGTTGACATCACATGAATCTTGGCTGAAAGCAGAGAATACCAGAAAGATGTTAGCTTGTACTTGATTGACTATTCAAAGGTTTTCAACTGTGTGGATCATAACAAACTATGGGCAACATTTTGAAGAATGAGTATTCCAGAATACTTAATTGTGCTCATGAAGAACCTCTCATTCAAACAGAACAATGGAATACTGAATGGTTTAAAATCAGGAAAATTGTGTGCTGGGATTGCATAGTTTCATCACACTTATTCAGTCTGTATGCTGAACAAATAATCTGAAGAAGAACATTGCATTAGGATTGGAGCTTGTCTCATTAGCAACCTATGATATGCAGATAATACAACCTTGCTTGTTGGAAGCAAAGAGAACTTAAAATACTAATGAAAATCAAAGACTACAGCCTTCAGTATGAATCTTGCATTTAAATGTAAAGAAAATAAAACTCTTCACAACTTCACCAATAAGTAACATCATACTTATAGGAGCAAAGATTGAAGCTACCAAATACTTCATTTTGCTTGGATTCATAACCAACCCTCATGGTAACAGCAACCATGAAATCAACACATTGCGTTCTTCAAATCTGCTGCAAACCACCTTCTTAAAGTGTTAAAGAACAAAGATATCAGTTTGAGGACTAAGATGCACCTGACCTAACCCATGGTATTTTCAATCACCTTATATGCATGC